GGAACCAGAGGCCAAAGTGTTCATTCATTCACTGTCAACACCACTTACTGACTGCCTGCCATGCAGCAGATAAGTATCAGACATGAGGAGTTCATGGCAAATGCCTTAATTGATTGGTAACTGATAATTAGGAGCCTGGTGCTAAACATCATCTTCATCCCACAGGCTCATCTTAGTCTCAGAGCAGCAGGCTCAGGGGGATAGTTAGGCCCAGTTTGCAGATGAGGAAACTGAGATTCAACCTCAAGTCCATCTGGCTTCAGAGCCTCTGCCTTCCACCTGCAAGCCTTAGGCCGAACATTAGGAAAGGCGCAGAGTGCTATCCCAAACCTCTGGGCTCCACAGCACAGTGAGGACACAGAAATACAAACAAGGCAGGGATGGATCAATGGCAATGGAGCCAGGAACGAGTGTTGTGGTTCCCTGAGGAAGGAGAACTGGAGCGTCATGGAGGGCTCTGAGTGCAGGAATTGAAGGGTGCTGAGGAATGAGCTGGAAAAACAAAGCCTAAGTGCAGGAGGGGAGGGAGTAAGGGAGGTTCTAGAAAGAAGATGCAGGGTGAGGAAGAGAGACCAGGAGAGGAAAAGGCAGGACCAGCTCCCCAGGCACCTGACAGGGGGCAGAGTTCAGGCTTCATCCTGGAAACTGCAGCCCAGGATGAATTCACCTCTAGCAACGGACGTGCTGGGCTTTCTGTGCTGGTTCACAGAGCCACAAGGTTACTCAACTGCCAGCTTTGCAAAGCCAGGGATTGCACAGGACAGTTCACATCTCTGACTTTTTAGAAAAATTCGAGGGCCTGCCACAGGCTCTGGCACTGTTCCAAGGGCACTGTCACTGCCTCAGTCCCACTGTCCCACGTGTCCATGAGCCCTGTCACTCTCATTCACAATTACTTACCAGGCCTGTGGTCGTGACCACTTTGTACACAGAATGAGACTTAGTAAAAAGTTGAAGGACATAAGAGTCAACGTGTTTAGAAACATCCATCTGCTCCTCCTTGGGACGGAGGATGGTAGAAGGCAGACCACCCCTCCACCCTACAGTTCACCTGTTAACACCTGCAGCATTGTGCAGGCACTGCGGATCCCCAGGAATGAACAAGGCCAGTGCAATCTGGTAAGGAAGCAGCTTTCTAGAGATAGGAAACATCAACATGGGATGACAAATTGTGCCTCCTGCCACTAAGGATGTGGCAGAGCAGTGGCACGGTCACCGGGAGGTTCCAAGATGGACGGCCGGAGGAGGCTCCTCCAGGGAGACGCAGGAGCTGAGCCTGGAAGACTGAGAAGGCAGCTCCCTGGATCTGGGCAAGACTGTCCAGGCGGAGGGGACGGCTTGGGCAGTGGGCCAGCGCAGGAGGGTCTTGGGTCATGGGAGGACTTTAGCGAGCAGTTTGCAGGGATGGATGGGAGGAGAGAGAGCAAGCAGGTATGACTAGAGGTCACAGAACAGTCACTGCAAGCCCAAAACACCAGAGAGTGGAGTGTTCTTCTCCAAGCAAAGGGAAGGCAGGAAAGGGACAGGGACTAAAGCCACCTAGGTGACCTTATTCAACAGCTCGTGCTGGCTGCTCCAAGCAGAGTAGGTCAGAGAGGGGCTTGTGCGGCGTTTCAGGCAAGAACTGAGGAAATGGGAAGAAGCTCCCAGATCTAGAAGTCAGCACGTGGGCCTCAGTGGACAGGGTACAGTGTGTCTGGGGAGTGGGGAAAGGAATCGTCAGGGATGTGCGAGTGTCCAGCTCAGATGAATGGCTGAATCTGGAGCCTGCTCTGGGATGGACTGTGTACTCCTAAATTCATATGCCAAAGCCCCAGCCTCCAGTACCCCAGAACATGGCTGCACTCGGTTATTAATGAGGTCATTAGGCTAAAACAAGGCCATTAGCGTCAACCTGAATCCAGTATAGTCAGTGTCCTTAGAGAGTCGATTAGGATATCAACAAAGGGAAGGGAGCCCCCGTGAAGACCAGGGGGATTTGGTCATCTACGCGGCAAGGACATGCCAGTCCTACAGAAGCCTTCACCTTGGACTCCAGCCTCTAAAACTGAAGAAAGTAAGCATCTGTTGCTTAAGCCACCGGTCTGAGGTACTTTGTGATGGCAGCCACAGGACACTAACACAGCCCACCCAAGACAGGCGGGACAGGGAAATGACAGGCAGGCAGGACACTCACCGAGCCTGACAGAGCATGAGGCTCTCAGAGACAAAGCCAGACCTGCTGTGGTCAGAGCGAAGGCCCCAATCTGGAATTGGACTGCAGGTGGCTCTGGTGTGGTGAGGGTGGAGGGGACCTGGCAGTCACATCAATCAATTGGCTGAATCGGGAGCAATCAATCTGCTAAAAGCTCAGAGCATAAAAGCATCATTTAAAAAGGCTTTAAAACTACAACAGGAAATAGGAGCATTCTTGAGCATGGCGGAGATAAGGGTGTTGTTGACTTAGCTGGTTTGGGTTTCTTTGTTTTTGTCTTATTTATGAGTGAAGCCATGTGAGCATTTTTCTAAAATAATGACAGTCAACATTGGAGAGGAATAAAGGAGAAGTTATGGTAAAAAAGAAAGGATAATGAATAATGTGATACTTTTAGAAAAGTGGGAGGGAGGGAAGGAAAGAAGGAAGGAAGGAACTCTAGAACACAGCAGAAAGAATCAGCTGTGGACAAAAGTGACAATACAGGGCATGTTTGCAGGGTTCCTAAGGGGACATCTCTGAGACCGAGCATTTCTCTGGGAAATAAGAGGTGAAAGGCACCTGCTGAGATTCAGAGTAGGGGAGGACTGGAGTGGGAAGTAGAAGAGGGACAGAGTGGTGACTGGGGACAGTGACTACTGCAGAGTCACCCTGAGGGCCTATGCAGAGGGCAGAGGCTACACTCCATCCCATCGCTCCTCCCCTCAGCAGGGCGGCTCTCTCCAGCATGCAGAGGGGGGGTTCCCTGGGGCTGGGTCTGCAGGGAGTGTGTGTGTGGGGGGGAGATTGGAAGTGGAAGATCTAAGGAGAAAGGACCTGGGATGAGCATATCCAGTAAAGGGCAGATGGCTTGCAAAGTCACTTGGTTCCAAGTCACTTGGTGAGAATAAGTTTTCTTAGGCCCAGAAGAGCAGGAGCAGAGCTACAGGGAGCCAACCGCCAGAGTCCACCTTGGGTGGAAGATGGGTCGGAAGCCAGAGCAACCAGCAGAGGAAACAGCATCACAGGATTCAGTAAAAGACAATGTGCCCCCCCCCCCAGAACACAAGATGGCACCTCACATGCAAGACCTGAGAGCCCTCAGGCCTGGCTCGCACTCTCTGCCTGAGTTGAGGGTCTCCCATGGAGGCCAGATGGGTGTCCTCTTCTGAGAAATGCAGGCGATTCAATGTCATGTGAGCTCTGCTGACACCATGGACTGGGTGGAAGGTCCACCATATTTACCTTCAAATTATCTTCAATTTCTGGAATTTCCAGATATATGAGTGGCAGTCCATGGGAGGAATCTAAAACATTAATCTCTCCGTGCAGCAAATAATATGTTATGCCCACCACAACCATGCCAAGCCCAGAGGGGGCTCTTTTCCTACCTGCATGACATCACCCAATTCCCAAATGGAGAGGATTCCAGCCGGAAGGTATGGGGCTCTCACCACCTGACTGGTCAGTGTGTTTCAGGGTCTCACGGAAGGAGGGAGCCGTGTTTCTAACTCCCACTGCGGCCTGATGTTCTTAAGGCATCACTTTTGGGGAGAGAGACACGGTGCTTCCAGTTCCACTTTGTTTATTTTCATCAATGCTAATCACAAGTCTTTGTGTGGCAGGCAGAGGTCTTGTTTGATTTTTCAACTGGTCCCTTTGCTTGTTATAAAAAATCAACAATAAATAGAACAACCTAAAGTCACACAAATGGAATTCCAGGGCCCAAAAGAGACTGCCCATAAAGTGTTGTTTTCAGTCAAAAACAATTCAACAAAGATTCTGTTAATGGGAGAAATCCACTTATTGCTTCAGTTTGGGAGAACAATCCACGTTGCCATTTGGAAGCAATACTGCCATTCAGCTACCGTGGGAACTTAATGATGAGGACATTCTTTTTTCTACAAGGGGGTACTTAGAGGCAAACAGTGATGCTTAAGTTGATTATATAATTTGGCAAAATACTTTGTGTGTGTATCTACACACACACACACACACACATACACACACACACACATCAAGATAAATATGCACAGTAATAGCCAAACCAGTACTTTTATCCAAGGGATATTTGAAAATTTATAATTTTTTTTTTTTGTCATTACAACTGAGTGGAGGGCCATGCACTAGCCACTGGCAGGTACAGTCAGGATGCTGCTGAACACCCTACAGCAAGGAGAATGCCTTTTCCAAAGCAAAGAATGACCTTCCCCCAACAGCAGTGTTGCTGGGGGTAAGAAATTCTTGTCTACACAATTCCCTTGTCCTGGGCAAAAGGGCATCCAACCTTCCTATAGCTGGAAACATCAAATTAGTGAATATCACACTGGCAAACTCAGGACTGCATCTTTCTGGAAACTACCACATAAATGCTGAGTGACACATGGTACCCACACTGCCTTTGTGAGTGTGTGTGTGTGTGTGTGTGTGAGGTCACACTCATGCATGTGCAGAGCATGGGATTTCAGGTAGCACCTCTCAGGACCCACAGCCAGTCTTGGATTGGATGGTCAGCACCCTCTTCTGACTTTGTCATGAGCAGGCAAACAACAGATCAGGAAACAGCAGCTGAACTTTGATGACTGGTCAAATAACATAAGCCCTCTTATTATGGTCTAGCGGGTAAAGAACATCATTGATCTTTCTATTTACTAAAGAGTCACATGATGCTCTTCCAATCCTTAGTAAATGCATTACATTTAGATTTCTTTACAAAATGAAGATTTTGATTTTCTTTGGACATTTTCAAGCATCAAATAACACAGCATCAAATAACACAGTGTCACACACAAATGAGAGGGGGCACTGGAGCGACGGTGAGGCTTACCGTTCAGCCATTTGGAGTTGTACTGAGCCGTGCGGAGAGGCGGCAAAATCCCCAGGCTTCGGTAGATGGCGGGATCACGCCCTGGGAAATCCATGGCCGTGGCAGCATAGAGCTCGCCACCAGCCGTGAGCAGAGCCGTGGAGTTGTGCTGGGGACTGTATGGACAGCGGGCCATGCCACTGATCTGGTCATGGATCTCGGTCAGGTTACTCAACTGTTGTGAAGACAAGAGGGACAGCAGTTAGACTCCAAGCACCTTAAAAGGTACTGGTGAACCCCATCTCTGCAGTTCTGAGTAAAGAGTGTGCAATAAACTCTCTGGGACATAGGAGATGACAAACTTTCAGACTCCAACTTCATGAAGTCAGCCCGCTGTGGTCGGACTGGAGAACCTATCATTCACTGTCTGTCTGCTTCCTTTAGAGCCACTGCACCTCATGCTACTGAATACCCACAACATGTGAAGTGAGATTATTGTATTTATGGTTCTGATTTATAATACATGAGTGCTGCTCATTTTCCACTTTGATGAAGAACCCCACTTCAATATCGGTAGATATATAAATCACAATAAAGGATTATATACATTTTGATCAATATAAACTGTGGATAAAAAGATTGCAAGTAGCCCTAAATAATGTGTTCCTGGCAATGACGGGCGGTGTGTGGACCATGTATGCGCATCCCTATAATATATTTTCCTCTCAGTTGAGAGCCACAGGGGTGTCCTGGTATCATCTTGCTGAGTACAGCTTCCCAAATGCAGGATTCCTGACAGTTACTGAATGAGAGGAGCTCCGTGGAGGTTGGGGAATCTGGCAAGAATCAATTTGGGTCCTAACTCTTAACTGAGAGTGAACAGTGCAGAGGGTTCCAGCGCAGGTGCAGGCACGCGGCTTGTCGACTGCTGGGTATCTGGCCCTGCGGAAGTCACTCAAACTCTCAGACTCTTTCATAAAACAGGCCCACAAAGAGGAGCCACCTCACGGGTAGACATCGAGGACTGAGACACTGCTGACGTCAAGCGCTGAAGTGTGTGCGGAGCCTGAGAGCTCTCTGGAACATGGTCTCCTAGGGTCCGCCTCCTCCCTTAATTCCCAATAACTGATCGTTACGTTTTGTTTATTTTAGTTGTAGATGGACACAATACCTTTATTTTGTGTATTATTTTTATGTGGTGCTGAGAATCGAACCCTGAGCCTCACACCTGCAAGGCAAGCGCTCTACCACTGAGCCACAACCCCAGTCCCTGGTCATTAAGTTTTAAAGAAGGAACAGTAGAAACATGATGAATTAAGGCTGGGAGAGAAGTTGCCCTACCAGAGATTAACATAGTGGCATTTCCTCATTATATACCCTAAGAAAAATTAAATTAATACTCTGATAAAGAAGATCTCAGGCATGCGTGCTGATACTGCCATGCTCCTGCAATGGGACGTGCCTACTCAAGAACCCTGTCTGGAACAACAGGCTCAGAGAGAGGATCAGTTACATATTTACTTCACCCTTCTTCATATTTGCTCTCTCTCTCTCTCTCTCTCTCTCTCTCTCTCTCTCTCTCTCTCGGTTTTACATGGTTTTAATCCAATTTATAGATTATATTTTCTTCCTCTGGATTCTGATTTTGATACTTAAACAATATCTCTTAGATAAGAAAAAAAAAGAATATGCCTCAGATTAATGTTTAGGGTCACTGGTAGGGAAAATGCTGATTGAAATAGTTTAAAGGACCAATAACTATTTATTTTCTTGTATTATTAGCATTTTCAATTAGAAATAAATCAACAAATTAGATATTTATTTTATTAAAGTTATTTTTAAATTAAAGAGAACCCCTTTGCTGTATAGAAATGCACTTAAAGCCTGGGTCTGGACAATCTTCAAAGCTAAGTTCTGGCAACTCCCATGCAGCCTACCGAGCGGTTGGTGCACACAGGTGTGAAGGCATTTGTTCCACAGGTGAAGAGCCGGTCGCCGCCCACCAAAAGCACCCGGATGTAGTTCTGACACTCCTCCTGGAAAAGAAAAGCCAACAGACGATTGACAAGGCCTCTAAGGAAGAGGAGGAGAAGCATGAGTGCATTTTTTGTCTGGCTAGTAAAAAAATAAATAAGCCTCTGAGATATTGACCAAAAGTCAAAAAAAATGTTAATCTAGCTTTCCATATATACAGCAGAAAATATTCATAATGATACAAGGATGTTCAATTAAATTCTCAAAGTCTGCATCTTCTTTTGATCATCATGGGTTCATTTTGAATTGTAGTGCAAACTTTATATTTTCCTGGGCATGTATTAGGAAAGTAAATAAAAGGAATCTATTAGATGCTGCTATTGGAAAATCTCCCTGGCACTTCATAAAAACCTTGTAAATGCTTCTTCACTAGGAAGGTTATACGTAAAACTGTCAAGAACTGGAACAAGTTTTTCTTGAGAGGCTCGAATTGTATTAAATGCACAGGAAATATCTATAGACTCTATTAACTCACTGATTGGCAAGCAAAAATATCGCAAATAAAGAAGGGTTCCCCCCATGCTGGGGAAAATCTAGAGACGGGTTATTTTTTGTGGTAGGGCCATAGCAGTGACGGCTGTGTGTGCAGGAGTCAGCTCTTCAGTCATTCATTGGCTACTGTCCAGCAGGCACAGTGCTAGAAGTCACAGTTAAGGCTGCAAAATTAGAAGGGTTATAACTTTGTCTATAGAGCTGTCCACATGCTATAATGAGGCTGCACAGAGGAACATCCTGTTACTCAGTTCCAAAGGGGAAAGGAAGAATGGAGGGGTGGGACGGCTTCCTGAGGAGTTGACCCCTCTGGTGCGTTTTAAAGGAAGAAGGAGATTTTGTGAGGCTTCCTGGAGGAGGTGCTTAAAGGGTACATGCCAGCCTTTAGGGGCCTGCACTGGGCTGAGGCTTGGTGGTGAGGGAAAGCACAGTGACTTCATTGGAACAGAGAAAGCAGTGCATAAGCTTGGGGTGAGACCTGGGCCAGCCTAGTGGGTGAGCATTTTGCCCTGACACTGAACCATTAAATACTGTTAGTGAGTGACATTTTGAATTGAGCTCATGCTTCCCATTAGAGGACACTGAGATTCAACGTGGAAGATAAGATAGACATGGGGAGGATGAAGCAAAGGGGTGTGTAGGGAGCCCATTCATAATTCCCGCTCTGTCACTTCATGCCTGGACCAAGGTGTCAGATGTGATAGGACAATGCCAGAACCTGGCAAATCAGCAGGACATAGAGATAGGGCACAGGTGACACCCCATGGTGTCCTGACAATCGAATCACGTACTGTGTGAACTCAGGACAGTGCAGATCCTGTGGCAGAGCAGTCCTCTCTCAGCCCAAGGGAAGCCCCATCTCAAATATGATACTGATCTGCAGAACCCACAGCCTGCCTCTGACAAGGAAAAGCACCCCCATACTGAATCTGCTTTTGAGCATGTATTGAAATACTATTACCGGCAAGGCTGACAACGAATCATCACTGGCTGATAAACTGAGAAATAAAAAGAGAAAACAACAAACAAACAAAAAGAAACCCCAGAAAGATCTCAGTTAACTTGAAAGGAGTAAGGAGTAAACAGAGACAATCTGAGAAGCATGTGGTTCTCTGACCTCCTTATACTGGGGAAAGGGCAGCAGAGTCCCAAAGGCAAAGAGCCAACACAGGTATCCGAGAGTCCCTTCCCAGGCTGGGAACAGGGAGGACGTGGCAGAGATGCCCGGGAGTTTCTGCAAGCATGACATCCAGTGAGAATTAAAACAGGAAATGTGCCTGCCCCAGGGCCTGTGATGGGTGACATGTTCCAGAGCACAGAGCAAGTATGCCTAAGGGCCATGATGGGTGACAGACAAGATAATGACGCCATGGTAGAGAGCAGGATGGAAAATCACCAAAAGTGCAGAGGGCTGGGGATTTTGTTTGTTTGTTTTTTTTTTTGTTGTTGTTGTTGCTGCTTTTAGAGCTGTTTTAACAACAAGATGAGATGGAAAGGAACATTTCTTTTTTTAAAGCAAGAGCCTCCGTTGGGTACAAATGTACCAGGAGCAGCCAGATAAGCAGGGACAACACAGTCACGGATGAATTATTCCAAGAGGGTCATGCAGACTGAAGAGATACGGAGTTCTACAGGCCCGGTGGAAAAAGCAAGGGCCTCTAGTTGATTTTGGAAAGGGAAACAATCCAGATAGAAAATGAGGGGGGGGGGCGCTTATCTCAATCTCACTCAAGAAAAACAAAGAGCAAATGAGATTGTAGGTTGCAACATTCCCAATGGCCCATGAGAAGCCTGACGAAGAACTGGAAAGTAGGTCAGTCGTGTGATAATCAGAATGCTGCAGCATGTGTGCCAGAGAGGCCGGTCGGACAAAAGGGGCAGTCTAAAATCTCAGAGGACACAGGGGATGAGAGAGGATGCAGGACTGTTGCAGTGAGAGCAGAGGACAGGAGGATGCACTGGGCTGCTCCCTCTGATGGGCTTCCCTCCTCTGCTGCAGGCAGGGAGGGAAGGAGGAGGTCAATGTCCAGGATCAGGGCAGCCAGACAAGGTGGCCAGTGCAGAATCTTCCTGAAGGGATGGAGGACAGACCCAGCCTTGTGGAACCTGGAGACACCTACGACGATGTGGGACCTGCTGAGGGTCCTGGGGCCATGTTCCTGCAGGCGGTTCTAAGACACAGATAATCCGGTGGAAGATGTACCAGGCCTCCTCTTGGGCTATGGGAACTTGCTTGGAGTAGTGTTTGGAATCACCACTTTCCACTACAGGCACCATCTGTGCAGAAGTCCCTGGGGATTCTTTTAAAGATTTCTCTTATAAATCAGCATAGTTAAATGCCTATGCTTTTCCTTTTCTCATCTAAGAATTCTTTGGTTTATTCAGTTTCTCTACCTTAAAAATGGGTTAAGAGGATTTAATGAATTCTGCTTCTCCAGGATGTGCTAGAGCACACCTCCCCGGCCACAGCAGCCTGCTGCTGCATGGCTTCTGGTTGACACTGAGCGCTGCCAATGGACATTTGGATAATAACACTTGAATATTAAAGGGACCCTTTGTGATCCACCTGTCCTTGACTACCAGCAAGTCCTTTGAGACTAGATAGCCCAGATGCAAGGTCACTGACTCAGACGGGGCTTTCCAGAGGGAATGGGTAATGCCCACTTGGTTTCAAGGACATGGGTCCTACACCCAGACCCTGGAGAGACAGCACATTTTAGGGCTAATTTCTTAATGAGTGAAATGGTTGTGTTTTACAGATTTTTTTTCCCTTCAACAGGTCTGTTCTGCTTTAAAAACAAACGAAAAACCTACCTATCTGTGTAAACAGAAGATCTGCAAAAGGAGCAGACCCCTTGGTGTCACCTGAGAAGCGTGCAGCTCATCACAACCTATGGATTCCAGGGAGGAGGGGTTGGGTTGGAAGCCTTGTGGCCTGAGGCCAACAGGGGCATTCCTGGTGACAGTACTGGCTTTCTCTTGATGCATTACCTCTGTGAGCACCCAGAGTGCTAAAGTGCGTACATTCATAGTAATAGCAGGAACCTTTGAAAAGGGGAATATACACTGACCAAAGTCAAGATTACCAGATGACTCAAAAAAAGAAAGAAAGAAACACATAGTGTCCAATCAGATGCGTGTGTGTGTGAAACATGCATATATGTACATACATGTTATAGATGCAATATATAGTGCTCCTAGGTATCCATGGGGATTGGTTCCAGGAACCCTAAAGCTACCAAGATCTCAAGTCCCTCATAAAAAAGAGGTAGAGTTTCTGTATGAACTCTGTACATCCTCCCAATCTGAATTGGGAGTTTGAATTATCTCTAGAGGAGTTATAACACCCAATACGATGCAAACGATATGTAAATAGTTGCTGTATTGTTTAGGAAGTAATAAATGGAAAAAAAAATCTGTGCATGTTCAGTACAGATGTGACCATTGTGGTCCTCACTCCACAGCACATGATCCCGATTGGTGGAACCCAAGGATGAGGAGGCTGTGACTGTACATATAAAGAGAAAGAGGAATACATAAGCACACTCCTGTATATAATTGTCTATTATATGCTACATGATGCATAGTGGCTTAATATATTAAAATATACTGTGTATATTCTCAACTGCACTGACTCTATAGGATACTTAAACACCTTGATAACAAAATAAAAAAAAAATTGGTTTGCATAATCTTAACATGATGTTAGTATTTTACCTAAAACACCCTCTATTTTCAAAGTGATTAAAAAGAACAGAGGTGGTTCTATAGTGTGTCACACACACTGATTACAGCTTTCATAAATATTTAGGCTTTGGATGAAAATGTCAACCACCAAGTTGTTAGGCAGGGGGTGCCATGCCTTTCTTCTCCTCATCCCTAGGAGTTTACCTCTTTACCAGATGATTTGGCAACTCAAGAAGTAAGACCAAGGGATACAGCAGGAAGAAGAATTCAGAGAACCCTGGATTTTAATCAAAATGCTCCCACTAACTAGCAAAACAATCCTAGGAACTTAGTGTCAAAAATCCAGAGATGGGATCATAAATAAGAGCCCTTTGAGAACTACAAAGTGTAACATCAGCATAAAGCAGCTCTTTCAGTCCCTCAATGGTCAGTTGTGTTTTCTTTGTCAAGTTCCTAAATGTCAGGGTGGGAGGAGCTCCCGTCCAGACACTAGAACCCCGCACAGACAAGGAACTCTTGTTAGATGATACAACTGACTGTTTGTCTTTAAACTAACATTTATGTGAAATACATTTAAATAGTTCTAGAATGGGATTTCTATAATGCTACTTCAGAAAGAACTAAATGCAACACATTTCATTATAATATGTCTTGAATGCATAAAGACAGATTCTTTTCTGCTTTATGGTTAAGCCATTGCAGCTACAGCGAGCAGAACATATTCTAAGGAAATCAGAAGTAGAACCTTGCAAAGAACTAAGCATCTCAGTACCACCTTCTGGCTTAGTCTTGCCCAAATTAAAAGCTATGGATATCTTTTCTTGACCGGATTCTCTAAATTGTAAATTTCATGCCCTACACGTGAAATGATGTGTGTTCTTAGCCTCAGCAACACCAGAAAAATAAGAAACAAGTTGTCCTCTGCAGCTTATGGAGGAATGCTTTCATCAGAAGAGCAAGTGGGCAGGGGCAGCACATCCCTGCCACCCCAATACCTCCTTCCACGCACTGCATTCTGACCACTTGGCAGTAAGATGTGTTATGTGAGCAGCACAGGCTGCTTTGGGGGGGAGGGGGTGGTAGGAAAAAAATGAGTTCAGTTAAAATGACTGGCATTTTTCTCATTTTTGAGATGTCACATTTTGCATTGTTCTTTTTATTTCAGGGAGAAGAGAAACATTGTAATTCTGTTTAAGTTCTCAGAATACTCTAGAATAAGCACAAACATAAAACAGTTGAATTCTCCTCCTAAACTCATGATCACTAAGAAAAGCCTGAATTCCACTTCTCCAAAGAGACATTACATTTCCATCAAGCTGTGAAAACATTATCTGAGTTGGTTCCAGTGCCTGGCGTGGTTTCTCCTGTCCCTAGGGACCAGCTTGCTCCTCTCCTTCCTGTGTCCCTGGAGTTGTGCCTGGGTCATTCTGTAGATGGCAATCATGTCAATGACCATTTTAAGAAAGCAAGACAGATATGAAGGGGACTTGCACAGGAGATGGAGGACCCTCTGCCCTTATTCCCCATGGGCCAGGCTGCAGCGGCTCAAAACCTCCACGAAGCCACCACCTCATGTTGTACACGTGAATTCCTACTGCGCGCAGTCCTGCTGTGCAAACCAAATGCTATTTCAGAGGAGCAGAGGGTATTTAAAACTCTAGGTGAATTTATCAACGTACTGAATGCAACCTGAAAGAAAACGTGATTTATCTTTCTCAAAACATATGGGACTTAAAATTCATCTTCATTTGTTTTAACACATTAGTCTTAACAAATTCAACCCACAGAGTTTGGATCAATTTATAATTAATAAGACTTGCTATTATACTTAACCAACAAATCCAAAAACATGAAGCATAAAGGTATGGCTTCATTTGACCTCATGTGTTTTCCTCAATTTGTTTCTCCATATCAGAAAAGCTCAGTGAGGTGTGGGAACATCTGGTCCCTTCAGTGAAGCTGAGTGAGAGTGCCTTTTCCTATCCCATGGATCTTACTTGCTTCTTCTCTTTTCTTTTCTTTTCTTTTCTTTTCTTTTCTTTTCTTTTCTTTTCTTTTCTTTTCTTTTCTTCCCTCCCTCCCTCCCTCCCTCCCTCCCTCCCTCCCT